ACATTGTGTCAACAATGCCCTTCAGTTCTCTATATAGGAGAAACAGGTCAAACCCTACACCAAAGGATAAATGGACAAATCTGACATCAAGAATCACAAAACAGAGAAACCTGTAGGAGAACATTTCAGCCTCCCAGGGCACTCCACGGGGGACCTCAGAGTAGCTGTTTCATGTCAAAAGAATTTCAGAAACAGACTGGAATGGGAGATTGTGGAATTGCAAGTTATTGCAGCCCTCAGGACAATGGAACCCCCCGGGTTTGACAGAGATATCGGCTGCTTGTCACACCACACAATCCAATTCATTCTGTTCTTACTTATACCCAGAAATTACAGGGTTTTTGTCTTATAGAGGCCGCTGGACTCAAACCTTGTTCTCACATCTGTTGTTCACTCATAGAATAATAGAATCATGAAGTTGCAGGGGATCTCCAGGGTCATCGAGTCCAACCCCCTGCACAATGCAGGAAATTCACCAATACCCCCCCTGACACCACCAGTGACTGCTATTGCACACCCAGAAGATGACAAAAAACCTCCAAGATCTCTAGCCAAACTGGCCTTGAGAAAAAAAAAATTCCTTACCCCAAAGTGGCTATCAACATTTTCCTGGGTGTGTAAGAAAGGGTCTTTATTATCTGTATGCCAACATGCTGCTATTTATATGTCCTAGTACATGTGTTATTCCAATCTTAGCTACATTTTTTGTTCTGTTACTTATGCATATTGACTCTATTCAGCTCTTACTGGCAATTAAACACACATACCCCTCGCATGTAATATTTTAGGCACTCTGTTTCATTGTATGTCAAGAAGTGTGCACACGCTGAGTCTCTGTTCTCACATGTGCACAGGATTGAGCCTGGTTTGTCTTGGGGTGCCGCTGGATTCTATCCTCATTCTCACATCTCCTTGTTAATTCTTACATTTATGTGCTAATTTGCTGCCATCCATTGATCTTGGCCAAATGGTCCAATTTCAGCTCTGCATATATAGTTTGGTTCTTAGTGGCCCCTCCTGATGGCTGCCACCACCAACTTTTTTCCAGTAAATAGCCCTTGAGATTTTGTTCCAATTTCTCTGAAGAACTGTGCTTTGCACATGAAAGTTTATACTTTGAATAAAACTCTGATGGTCTTAAAGGTGCCACTTTGTTCTGCTGCTTCAGACCAACACGGCTACCCACCTGAATTGATCTTAAAGATGCTACTGTGGAAAGGTGCTCAGTGATTGGAGACTAAGCCACATGTGACTGGTGCTTTTGGAAAGCTAGAAAGAATGTTGTCCTGACTTTGAGGACAACATCATAAATGCATTCTTACAACACTATACTTTGCTACAGAAAGAAAGATATCGGGAGACCAGTTCTACTTGGTCAAGAAAAGCATTTCTACAAATCAATGGTGATGTCACAATTCAGTAAAGAGCCAACCCACATATATGAAAATGCGCATTCAGTATGCTCCTGAAATAGGTTCAAAAAAGTAATTCTACCTCAAACAGGCAATGTGGGTTATGTTAAGTAAGTTGTTTCAGGGCCGAAAGCATCCCATGGACTCTTGCACCGGTTGGCATACAGATAATAAAGAATTTAACAACAGATGTGAGAATCAAGTTTGAGCCCAGTGGCCTCTACAAGACCCACAAAGTTTAATTTCTGGGTATAAGTAAGAACAGAATGACTTAGTGTGTGTAGTGAGATAAGAAGCCAATATCTCAATTAAGCCCTGTGGTTTCCATTGTCCTGAGTATTGGAATAACTTGCAATTCAGCAATCTCCCCTTCCAGTCTCTGAATATTAAGAACTCCCAAATATCCTCCTGATGCTGTTTTATTTTGGTATTTTAATGTTTTGGTTAATTCAAACTAATTTTGTTAGCAGTCTTGAGTACTTTTGGTGAAAAGGTGGCACATAAATATTTTTAAATGAACAATTGCTGCAGGTTGCTATGGAAGATTTCCATCTGCTACATTCTGGGCAACTCAACTCATATAAATAGGCCCTACTATTTAAACTGGAAAAGACCAGTTATGTAAAAAAGGAGCAAAGAGCACAGAACCCAAGTACAATTAAAATAATGGAGCCCATTAAACTGTTCTACCCAACAAAGCCAAGGGAGACTATTCAGTTTCATCGCAGTAAGACGATGCTAGTACTTAATAACTCTCCATTCTTTTGCTTCATGTGTTCTCTGCCTTGCAAGAGAATTGTGAGGCTCAAATGCAACCAAAGATGGAGGAATGCCCAACCCAGTCAAGCTTGCATTTCTTTTACTGTTCCAGTTTTAAAAGCCATGTAATCTGAACTAACCCTCTGCTCTTTTGGGCAGAACTTGTAATTCAATCACCAGCCCCGATAGCTTGATTTTATTTTTCACTCTCAATACCTCTAACGTGGGGGGGGGGTCTCTGAAAGAAAGGTCAAAGAGCTCCCCATTTTAAAGTTTATAAAGAAATGGAAGATGACGACCTCTGTTTCTCACCAAACTCAGGAAATGTGATGGAGACCACAAGATGGTGCTGCATTACTGTTATTTAATTTACTCATTAACTATCAATGACATAGGGGGCTGTGGAGGCTCAGTGGTTCAGACGCTGAATTGCAGACCGGAAGGTCGGTAGTTCAGCAGTTCGAGACCCGAGTGCTGCATGATGGAGTGAGCTCCCAGCTCCTGCCAACCTAGCAGTTCAAAAGCAAGAAATTGCAAGTAGATAAACAGGTACTGCTTTGGTGGGAAGGTAACAGCGCTCTGTGTGCATCGGTGTCTAGTCATGCTGACCACATGACCATGGAAACGTCTTTGGACAGCGCTGCCTCTTCGGCTTGGAAATGGGGATGAGCCCTAGAGTCAGATTCGACTGGCTTTCAAGCAAGGGAAACCTTTTATGAATGACATGCTGGGAAGGGAAAGTATTTACATGATCTCATACAGGAGGGTCAGGCAGGTAGCTGAAGTTTCCAAATAGTCTTTAATAGTAAACTAAGGCACACTGTGCTGAGGAGGAAAAAATCATTGGAAAAAGTGCAGAAAAGGGCAACCAGAATGATAAAAGGGTTGGAACACTTTCCCTATGAAGAAAGGTTAAAGTGCTTGGGGCTCTTTAGCTTGGAGAAACGACAGCTGAGGGGTGACATGCTCAAGGTTTACCAGATTATGCATAGGATAGAGCAGGTAGAGAAGTCCCTTTCTCACAATACAAGAACTCGTGGGCACTCAATGAAATTGCTGAGCAGTCGGGTTAGAACGGATAAAAGGAAGTACTTTTTCACCCAAAGAGTGATTAACACATGGAATTCACTGCCACAGGAGGTGATGGTGGCTACAAGCATGGACAGCTTCAAGAGGGAACTGGATAAACATATGGAGTAGAGCCTCTATCAGTGGCTTTTAGCCACAATGTATAGATAGGAACTCTCGGTCTGGGGCAACTGATGCTCTGTATTCTTGGTGTTGGGGGGGGCAAAGTGGGGGGGGGCTTCTAGTTTCCTGGCCCCACTGGTGGACCTCCTGATGGCATCTGGTATTCTTGGCCACAGTGTGACGGAGTGTTGGACTAGATGGGCCATTGGCCTGATCCAGCATTCGCTTCTCTTATGTTCTTATGTGAAAGATATGCATTTATTTCAATAAGACTCTTTGCATGCTGGTGTTTAAAACTTATAATGAATAAGAAGACACTTATTTTTAGATCATAGGGTGGGAGAAGTGAAATGCAGTGAGGAAATGGGAAAGACATAGAGGAAAAATAATATTGCTTTAAGATGTTTACATGCTGTCTTTTTATCTTAAGCCTTCCAAGGTGAGATCAAAAACTATTTTACTGTTTTCAGCCCATTTTAAGAACTGGGATATATGCTGCTTTTATCCTTTTTATTTGCTTTGTTGTGTTAACAGGCATTGTAAGCTGCTTAAAAATAATTCTATTGAGTGCATGGGATCTGTATGTTTTAAGTCAAATCCTAAAGGAGGCAGGGTGATACCTCCACTATGTACACTGGTTTTGCTTTTTGGAATCATGTGGAAACATTTTTATTCACCCGAGCTTTCTTTTTATATTTCATTATAGTCCTTGCTGGGGAGGGGGAATCCTCTTTAGGGCAAGAATTGCTTTATCCTATCCCATCACTTCATTTATTATTTTTCTAAGCTATTATTTATTGCAGTAGCTTTATATTCTACATTTTCTTTTTAAATCTGTAGTTTTACATTTTACTAATGTTTACTTAATTTATAACCTGACTTTTTCATTGCGACTCAGGGCAGATTACAGGTGGTTGTTTTTTTTTAATACAACTGGAGAAATATACATACAATTAAATAGAAAAAATAAAAATATAGTAAAATTTTATATTATACTTCAAACTGTTTTGATCTAGTTTGATAACTTTCTAAGAGGTGTTTTATTTGTTCCAATGATTTTCCTGTTTTATTGTAATTTACTTAAAACGATTCATAGAGAAGCAATGAGTAAATGACACGCAAAAATAAATAAAACACTGTCCAATAAAATCCACAAAATATAACCGTTTTGAAACAAAGGGATGGCTGTCCCACTATCTTCCTTATGGAGACACAAAACGACTCATTTTTTTCCACTCGTAACTTCCACTACAGAAAAGTTCTCTGTTATCACCATAGAGGTGCCCTTGCCTAGAGCAACGCCATTCGGCTCCGGTCAACGAATGATCGCTTGCTGCAATGATTGCTTTAAAATTTTTAGCGGAAGTGCGATCTTCCGTGTCACGTCAACCTTCCCCTATCTCTATGATCCTTCGTTCTCCCTCCGCCTACCAGAAAGGCTTTCGCTTATGACGTTTACCTTTCTTCGACGCGCTCTGCGGCTGAGTTATCACCTGATCTCGCGAGAACAACGGCCAATAGGGGGTGGCAGGGCCGAGTATCGTGATTTTGACAGACGCCGGAAGTAGGAGGTTCGGGCGAAGCTACAGATGTTTCCTTTCACTGCGTGCCGGAAGCGGAAGAGATCCTTCAGCCGGCATGGCGGTGGGTTGGTTTAGTATCGTGCTTCTCTTCGGAGTGGCCGTGTTTAGCACTGCGGCGCCGCTTGAAGGTAACGCGGGAGGCCCAAAGACTGCTAAAAGTAGCGCAGCAGGTCAGTACGTAGCCTTGAACGAGAGAGCTGAAGTCGGCCTGGAAGTCCTATATTCAGATATGGGCTTACTGTCACTGTCCCCCCCCCCCCAAAAAAAAAACCTCTTTAAAAGTTGCGGTTGAGGTGGCTGGTGAAAGGGAATTCGCTCCTCATATGCGCAGCGGTCCTCTTGCCGTGTCAGTTTTGGTATTTATCTACTCCATTTATGCACCACCTGTTTGGCAAGCCACTCTGGGGCAGCTGCCAGTGTAAAATGCGAGCAGACAAAATGACTAAGGTGACGAAGAGTAGACTTCCTCCCGGGCTTTCGGTAGGACTGATGGCCTGGGTTTTTCGTTTCTTTCTTGCCCTCCCCCACAGAGTGCAGGGGGTTTGAAGTGGACTGTGGAACTGACGACGTCACAACGGAATTTCCACAAGCTGTTGTCGGTTTCTCTTGGGGTTGGTGGCATGAGCTTTCGATTTCGTCCCGTCTCCTTCCCTGGAGGTCTCATGTAGGTCTCTCTGCTGCATCCTCTTGGGCCATTATTTTAGATGTTCTAGACTTGAGGCCAGTCACTGAAAACGTGTCCTGAGTCTAACCATAGGTGGGTTTTGGCTCAGGTTAAACTTGGGTGGAAGGTAAATCTGTGTGATTAGCTGATAAGGAGGAGGAGTCTGGTGTTCCGTGACTGGTGCTCTCTTTCCTGCTGGGCTGGCCAAAAGTTACTCAGTGAACTTCATTTAAACCTAGATCTCCCATTTTAACCTCTGTACCACAAGAGGAGGAAGTGGTAATTGGGTAGTCATGATAAAATAGTGAAGGTGAGGTATTGCATGGGTTTGTACACAAGTGACTCTTTGGATTGGTTGCCTTAGGAGTTTTTCATCACTTTTTATGGGCTCTGTACTGTGCCTCTGCTGTGTGTCTCTGCTACTTGGAACTGGATGGAGAACTTTCTCAAGATACTCTCTGCAAGAGTGCAGTACTGAGTTGCTTTTGGAACTGCATTTCTGTTTCCTGCATGATACAAACATTTAAGAATACCCAAACTTGTACATGTTGAACCAAGTGTGCCCTTGTTGAGAGATGGGACCTAAGCACAAGATGGCATGGATTTATGCCAGTGCACGATAGAACTACTATAGAACTTAAAACAGGGCTACTGCTTTAAATGGGACTGTTCTTCATTCATAGAATTAGAGTTGGAAGGGCCTATACAGGCCATCTAGTCCAACCCCCTGCTCAGTGCAGGATCAGCCTAGCACATCCCTGACAAGTGTTTGTTCAGCTGCTGCTTATGCTTAAAGACTGCCAGTGAGGGGGAGCTCACTAGTTCCCTAGGTAGCTGATTCCACTGTTGAACAACTCTTACTGTAAAAAAGTTTTCCCTAATATCCAGCCAGTACCTTCCTGCCCTTAATTTAAACCCATTACTGCAAGTCTTATCCTCTGCTGCCAACAGGAACAGCTCCCTGCCCTCCTCTAAGTTACAGCCCTTCAAATACTTCAAGAGAGCCATCCTGCCCGCCCCCCACCTCCTCTCCTCCAGACTGAACATTCCCGAGTCCCTTAGCCTTCCCTCATAGGGTTTGGTCTACAGGCCCCTGATCATCCTTGTCACTCTCCTCTGTACCCATTGATGGCTGTTTAGTTCTAAGGTCTGAGTTGTTGGAGCTCATCTTTAAAGTCCTTCATGACCCACATTTTTGATGGACCATTTCTCCCTGTATGATCCCTGTGCGGCAGCTTTGTTCTTCCCAGTAAGGTCTTCTGTCAGTCCTCCCCCCACCTGCCTTATCTAAGGCACATTCACCAACAGAGCTTTTTCAGTGGCTTCCCTGTGCCTCTGGAACAGTCTCTCAAGATAGGGGCTCTACTTTCCTGGCTTCCCAGCGAGGCTGATAAACAAATATTCTGAAGAGCTTTTAGGGTAACCTGAGCAACAGAGGGAATTGGTATTCTTAGATTGATTTTTAATGTGTTTGTATCTGTTGTTTTAATATTTGTTCATCAAAATGTGATACACTGTTATCCACTTTGGATCATGAGATGCTCTGGAGAAAGTTTGGTATATAAATATTTTAATTAAATAAAGTATAGATTTGAATTTGTTTGCAGTGTGCGGGTGCCTTTTGCATCACTTGCTGTAGTGTGATGTGCTATATAATTTAAATGCAAACTTTTGCATTTCAGGGGCAGTAGCAATTCCACAGCGGTCAGGCATCAGTCGAGGTGCTTCAAATCTTCCTGCACATGGGCAAGGCAATATTAAAACCAGCCCAAAAGGCAACTCAAAAGATGCACCCCAAAGCCATGACTCTGTAGGCAATGATAAAGATGCTGTTCATCGTTCTGGCAAGCCGCCAGACAACAGTGAATCCAACCAAAATGGTAACTCACAATATTTGCCCCCAGACCATGGCACTGCACACCAGGATAGTAACCATGCTCTTAATCCTGCTGAGCCAGCAGGCAATGAACAATCCAACCAAAATGCCAAGTTACAAGGTACACCCTCAGACCTTGGATCTGCAGGCATGGTTGCTCATACTCCTGCCAAACAAAATGTTAACTTGCAAGATCAGCACCAAGCCCATGGCGCAGTAGCCAATAATGGTGACCCTGCTCCTAATCCTTCTGAACCTGAACCACCAGGCAATGGTGGATCCAACCAAAATGACAACTCACAAGATATGCCCCCGAAGGATGAATCTGCAATTAAGGATCATGACTCTGCTGTTAGTCCTGCCAAGGTGCCAGGCAATGGTGGATCCAACCAAAATGACAACTCACAAGATATGCCCCCGAAGGATGAATCTGCAATTAAGGATCATGACTCTGCTGTTAGTCCTGCCAAGGTGCCAGGCAATGGTGGATCCAACCAAAATGACAACTCACAAGATATGCCCCCGAAGGATGAATCTGCAATTAAGGATCATGACTCTGCTGTTAGTCCTGCCAAGGTGCCAGGCAATGGTGGATCCAACCAAAATGACAACTCACAAGATATGCCCCCGAAGGATGAATCTGCAATTAAGGATCATGACTCTGCTGTTAGTCCTGCCAAGGTGCCAGGCAATGGTGGATCCAACCAAAATGACAACTCACAAGATATGCCCCCGAAGGATGAATCTGCAATTAAGGATCATGACTCTGCTGTTAGTCCTGCCAAGGTGCCAGGCAATGGTGGATCCAACCAAAATGACAACTCACAAGATATGCCCCCGAAGGATGAATCTGCAATTAAGGATCATGACTCTGCTGTTAGTCCTGCCAAGGTGCCAGGCAATGGTGGATCCAACCAAAATGACAACTCACAAGATACGCCCCCGAAGGATGAAGGTGACAACCCTGCTGAATCAGATTCTGCAGTGGAAGCAGATGATGAAGGCCTAAGTAATGGAGATGGTGGTGATCAAGTCCTCAGTGATGCAAAACCTGAAGACAATGAAGAGAAGGAGGATGAGTCCTCCAAGGATATGGATGTGAAAAAGAGCTCCCTTTCACCTGGCCCGTCTCCCAAAGAATCTGAGAATAGCCACTTCTTTGCCTACTTGGTGACTACGGCTATTGTTGTTGCTGCCTTATACATTGCCTACCACAATAAACGAAAAGTGAGTATTTTCATTAGAGTCTGTGTTTGCCGTTTTCCTGGCTGATCATAGAATTAGATCTGAAATACTTCTTTGCACAGAGAGTGATTAAAATGTGTAATTTGTTGCCAGAGGCTGTAGTGATGGCCACAGGAATAAAAAGGAGGATTAGATAGACTCATGGAAGATACATTTATCAGTGGCTACTAGCCATGATGACTGAGGGGAACCTCCACATTCAGAGGCGCTACGCCTACAGAGCCAGGAGACCACATCAGAGGAAGGCCTCGGCCTCTGTGCCCTGTTGTTGGACTTCCAGAGGAACTAACTGGTTGGCCATTGTGTGAGACTGGATGCTGGACTAGATGGACCACTGGTCTGATCCAGCAGGGCTCTTTTGATGTTCTTATACTGTTTCCTCTGCAAGTGCACAGCGAGCAGGAGAGTTTCCTCAGTCAGTCATAGCAAGCTGATATTCTGTAAGTTGGTTTTGATGGAAGCTTGTGCAAAGGCATCTCCCTTCCCGCCAGACGGTGAGATTTCAAGCTGGGATAGGAAACTCTGGAGGAAGCTGGCTCTTTAATTCTGTCATTTACTCAGTGACCTGTGAAGTATGTGATTATTTAAGCATGTACATAGAGCACTTATGTAAGCACTGGTGGTGTAAATTCAGAGGCATCAGTACTGCAAAAGTATAGGTCTTGTCATATCTGTCAGATGGGAGAGACTGAATTTTATTTACTTTAGAATGTATACCCTCATGTGCCTGCAAGGAGATATCAGGGTGACATACAGCATACAAAATCTACCAAGCGAGACCCGTCAGTGAAGTGTACTTGCATATCTCTTGGACTAATCTAAGCTCTCTGTGTAATGGCAGAAGTGGTGTTAATTGCTTTACCTGTGTTTGTTTGTGAGGTTTGGTTGTGAGGAAAGTAGAGTATAATTAACCTGTGCCCTTGTTCCGGCTACATAAAGGATACGTGGGGAATGTAAAAGAACGGCACAAGGTTAAAATGGTCGCTGTACCCCAGTGGCAGTTCACAAGCAAGGATTTTTTCCTGAAGTGAAACCAAGACTTCGTTTTGAAATGAATCCAGTAGAATGTGTACCGCTTAGTATACTGTGTGGAACAGCTTTGGGAAACTTCCACATATTTGTGCATGACTTTGTGCTGGGATAATGGATAGAGAAGGACCAGGTTTTGGGGGGGTGGGGGGACTGCAGACAAAGTGGTGTCTGCCAGTGCCCAGACTGAGAATCTGTAGGTGTGGACCAATATGTGACTGAGTCTTCGAGTGACTGGTCAAATGCCTGAGTATTTTTAAGCATTTTTATTTGGACAATAGAAGATACTACCCAGAAGATTCAGAGCCAGTTTGGTGTAGTGGTTAAGTGTGCGGACTCTAATCTGGGAGAACTGGGTTTCATTCCCCACTCCTCCACTTGCACCTGCTGGATGACCTTGGGCAAGCCATAGTTCTGTCAGAGCTGTTCTTGAAAAACAGCAGAGCTCTCTCAGCCCCACCTACCTCACAGGGTGTCTGTTGTGGTGAGGGGAAGGGAAAGGAGTTTGTAAGCCGCTTTGAGACTCCTTTGGGTAGTGAAGGGCGGGGTATAAATCCAATCCCCTCTTCTTCTTCTTACTATAATTTTCTCCAGTTAGATGTTTCTGCTAATCATGCAAAAAGACTAGTTACTTTTTAACAGTGTCAGGAAATGTGTTTATAAATGATTCACTATATAGTTGTTCTCTTGTGCTTTTATTCTCTTAACATCAGCAGTAAAAATAAATAAATAAAGCAAAATAAAAGAGAGAAATAATGCAGTTGTTGTGAACAGGAAATACCTTAATGAAATTCAAACAGTAAGCTGCCAACTGTACAGTGGCATCCTTGACTTCATGGTATATTTGACCAGTTAGCTGACTGTGGGGAGCCAACTCTAGAAAATTATATCTCCCCTCCCCAGATTAATACATGTCTGAAACATTAATTAATACATGGGCTGAAAATGAAAAGTAGCAGTGGGTATCACCAGATGCGTCACCCACTTCTGAACATAATGTTGAAAGTGGATCTGTGCCTATATCAAACCTGTATGATGCTTCATGCAGTTAAAGGTTCGTAAGCGACCAGCTGTATTTTGCAAGAAGCAGAATAACAGGGAAATCAAAGTGCTGGAAACTATTCCATCATCCCAATTTATTAGGGGATAGTGAATAGATTCAATGAAATTGCTGTATTTATTTGCTCTTTATTTAGTAGGATAGGTTTTGAAGTCATTGCATGCTGTTAGGTGGCTGTCAAAGCAGCATTCTCAATCAGATGTCTTGCCTTTTGCAGACTACCAGGAGGATTGCCACTGCTGTGTGTGGAATCCACCCTAATCCTTCCATTGGCCATCAGGCACATGTAGGGCAGGGCCTTGAGCACTCTCCATCTTCTAAACCGCTCTAGTTTCTCTAGCTGCACTGTGGGCACAGTTCCTTGCAGTAAATGCAGTGTGGCATACATAATAGCATGGAGTTCTCAAGCTTGTTGAGCCTGTGGGTACTTCTGGAATTTTGAGGACAGGGATTAGGCACCACCACAAAACGGCTGCCACCAGTCACTAAATATTGACTGGGTGCTGGGACCAGTCATGTAATATTGAGAGACTGCAAGCCAAGCATCCTCCAGTGATGGAGGCAGCCATTTATGAATGGGTATTCCTGCAGAGACAGAAGTGAATGCCTGCTGGGTTCTTCTAGAGCACTCCCTATTCCAGAGGAGTGGAATAAAGCCAGAACTGGCTCTTTAGGAAAACGAAGCTCTCACAAATGGTCACAAGGAAACACATTTACAAGCACCATGCTGCCCTTGGGCATCACATTGGGGATCATTGATTAAGTATGGGGTGTGTGTATGAGTGAGTATTAACTCTAATTGTTGCCAATTAATCTGCCTATTGTTCTCTCTCTCCTGCCTTCAAAGATAATTGCCTTTGCTCTGGAAGGAAAGAGATCAAAGTTAACCCGAAGGCCCAAATCCAGTGACTATCAGCGACTGGATCAAAAGGTAAGCTCCAGCAGCACGTTGCTTCTTGGCAGCCTCTCTTAAAATAAACACCAAACTGGGTGTTTGCTTTTAGTGCTTTTCATCGCAGTTTATGCACTGGGTCAGCACCCAGTAGCAAGATGAGCCTTTGCATTCTCAGCTAAGAACAAGGAATCATTCTTGTGCTAGGCAGTATTGGGGGAATCAATTATATTATACAAGTTGGAAAGAAGCATTGTGGCAGATGCTGCTGTTGTTGAAGCCATCAGGAAGAGGAATGGCAGCAGAGCCAGGCATTCTTCTTTTATGACTGGACCCAGACTATGCTGTAAACTAGGGGTGTGTGCTTGGTATATGCCGAGCCAAATAAATACCTTATTGGTATTTTTCTGTATTTATTTAGCCAAATACAGATTGGAGATCTGTACTTGGCTACTAACACAGGTGAACCCGAATAAAAGCCAATATTATTTGGCTTTTATTTGGGTGTGGTACACCCTCTAGTGAGCCAACCCCAGTGGGGGGAGCAGAGCTTTTGGCTCCATGCCACCTCAGCCGATCCTCTCTGGCAACCTCAATACTGGGATTCAGGAAATAATTGGGGTTGCCAGAGAGGATCGGCTGGGGTGGCATGGAGCCAAAAGCTCTGCTCCCCCCACTGGGGCTGGCTCACTAGAGGGTGTACCACACCCGAATAAAAGCCAAATAATATTTTGGGGGTTCAATACACCTGAACCCAAAAAATACAGATTTATTTATTTTTTGTGCACACCTCTAACTGAAAGCTCTCTTCCCAATTAGCTTTTTTGTATTATATTTTCACTGGTATTCATATAGGATTTTAAATGCTGTCAGTTCAGCTGGAATTAAAAAAAAATCATCCAATAATTAAATAATTGAGCTGCATTAGTGGAGTGCAGGGTTGGGGACAGTGGCCCGGTCAACTGATTTAAATCTCCCTTCTCTTTCAGATCTAAGGTAAAGCCCAACCCCCCACACACCTGATGCTGGGTTGAATAAGAAATCACCCTGAATAGAAGCACACAGAAACATGGGGAAATGTCCTGCCTTCCATCAGTACAGCTCTGATGTCCTTCAGCTGTGCCCAAGGGGAGGAGGAACAGAAGTGCTTTTTGATTCTGCACGTGCACTTTGGTAATGGTCATGTCTCTGTCATTCTTTCGAAGTCCTCACCTGTTTGTGCACCCCTCTCGGCTTCTTGAAGTTGGAGTGTTTTCTCAAATACTGTGATGTAAAGAACCGTTATACACTGCCTGTGTCCAAATGATGTGGTCCTGTTCTGCTATGTTGACACAAAGGGCTGTACTTAGGAGGAGGCGCCTTGCCTGTTGAATGAGCAGGCTGCACCCTGCCCTCCTAAACTCCTGGCATGATCTTGTTAATCGACATGGTGGGGTTGTAGTTGACTCAGTGAATGCTGTCAACAGCTTGTGTGTAGTATTGAAACTAGATGCTCACCTTGGGTTCCTTTGCACTAGTGGAGACATTTTGCTGGGGGATGGGAATCTGTTTGACATCATCCACATGTAGATGACAAAAGTCAGAAATCAACATTAATGTTTACAAGACTTTCTAGAGAGGAAAGTTCGTGAAAAGGGGTCACAGTGCACAATTTGTGGTTTTCTAATTCTCTCTCTTTAAAAATGGCACATTGTTTACTGTTAGGCTGAAGACAAAATGATTTGAAGCTTGCTTGTGTGAGAGAATTTGATGCGGGGTGTTTTGACCTTCCCCACTCTGTGCCATGTTTCTTTTGAGAAGAATTTCCACAAATTTTTGTCTTGTCATTAGTGCCATATCCCCCTTGCAAAGTCACAAGAATGACGTTGTTGGCGCTGTTTTAGGTACTTTAAAAATGATAATTTGCACTTAGTGATTATTACAAAGAATAGATTGTTCATAATTTGGCTTTTGCTGGGTAAATCCACCATTCCAGTCCCACACAGATCCTCACTCTTGATCCTAGGAGTCTGCAGATTGTTCTTGCATAAACCTAAACATCTTCATTTTCACTTAATAGCTTTTTAAAAAAAGTGTATCCTTTTCTATGTGTGAAAAACATTTGGCTACAAATGTATGCTAAAGTTCACCAATGCACTGAATGTTTTAATTCCGTAGCAGCACTTTCATTTCCCTAAAATCAGTGAAGTTTGAACAGATGTTCCTACAGATCCTTGTAATGTCGTAGAACAAGCTGTAATGCAGAGGAGCCTGTTCTTTGCATTTGTATGGTGGCCATTTGCAAACTGCAGCTGTTCTGAAACTCGTTTCTTATTTCCATTCATCCTAAGGAAGGGGGAGAATGTGGACAAGAAACTAATGTTAAGGTCTGCCTCAGTCTCTTTCACTTTGCATGCATTTCCAGTTACAATTCTTAATTGAGGATCAATTTAGCAAAACCTGCTTAAAATCACATAATTGCAATTTAGGAGTCTTATGGTTTCTTCAGATGACAGAATATTCTTTAATGCTGACCTTTTTGGCAGCTCCCTTCAGCTTCTGCCTGCACGGAATGGGAGAAGCATTGCTGTTTGAGAAATATCCTTGCAGGAAATGGGGGAGATCTAACCTCCTCCCTCGCTTGGAAAGGAGGGGTCATCCTCCTCCTCCTCCTCCAACTGAAAGGAGTCCTTGAGTTCGAACCCAGTCTTCAGATGACCAAATTATTCTCGCCCTTAAAAATATGAATGATGGCATGATCATCTGTCTCTGGAGCCAGCGACCAACACTAGGGTTTGCACGTTAGCCATACATGCAGTAAGTTGCAGAGAACCAGCGCGATGATAATTCCCAGGCCAGTAAGTGACAACTTGCTTGCAACCAGCAGTGGTCCTCCTCTTCCAGTACTGAATGGAGGTTCTCAGAGAGCTGCAAGCTGTGGCTCTGTGCAATTAGAGGCCGACTTCTGTCATTATGCTTGATGTATAATGTTCCGTACTGTTTCCTTAATTCCTTAATTCCCTTGATTAAATCTGTGGAAGTGTCTTTTATTTTTTAATTGATTTTGTGTTTTCTTTCAAACAAGGGGCTAAAGTTTGTTGTCGTTTTCGAATATATGAAAACTTGGTCCGTATTCTTTGTGTCCATATTTTTACCTAACCTTCAAATGAGTGGGGCTCTATTGCCAGGTAGCTTTCTTGCCAAACGGGAACTTTTTTCTTTACACAGCCCCCCTACTCTCTTTGAATCCACAAATGTGTGTTTCTGGTTCTGGCAGCTTTAAAAATGAGACACTTTAATTCAGACTTGTTTTTAAGTTTTGTAATTTTTTGTGTGTGTGGTGAACGAAATAAATGGATATACCAAACATTTCCCCCCCATTTCTTGTAACATGGCATCAACTATTAAACAATCCTGCCTTGCATGGAGGTCATAGTAGGATCTCTCCATTCCAAATACTCTCCTGTGTCCTTGCCCAAAAGAACTCTCCTTAAACTCTCCCTCCAAGAACTGCTGCTTGGGGACAGCCCTGCCCGCCTCATGGTGAGTAGATCGGGGGGGGGGGGGGGGGGGGGAGAATGTCTGTGCAACATTTGTAGTGAAAGAACATTCATGGCAAGAGGAGAGAGATAGGATACAACTATTGTCATACTCCCTTCCCCAGTTTGGGAAGTACATGATATCCCTCTTATTCCTTGGTTTCTGCATAGATTGTGCATAGTTTACTTATTATGGCATGGGCTACCTAGTTATGCAGCTTCTGCTAGCAAACAGTCCTTGGCATGTCCAACAGTGCTCTAGATCAGCTCTAGGTCAACCTTTAAATTTATTCCCTTCCAAGGGAAGTGCCACATAGGTATCCTTGGACTATGGAAAGATCAAGAGTCCAGTAGCACCTTAAAGACTAACAAAATTTACAGCCGGGTATGAGCTTGCGTGAGTCACAGCCCACTTTTGACTTACAAAAGCTCATACCCTGTCACAAATTTTGTTAGTCTTCAAAGTGCTACTGGACCCTTACTCTTTTCTACTGCTACAGACAGACTAACATGGCTACCCATCTTGATCTGTCTTGGACTATGGAGGAAAAAAAGCAATGTCCCTGAGATTAAGCTTAGCTGCCTTTTTGCTTAGCTTCATTGTGTATAGGCTAAGTGGGTGATGAGAAATGAAACCAGTCTCTTGAGGCGTCTCTTTCTCCGCATGTACTTATCAGAAGAACGCTTGTTGTCTGGTTACCCATAAAAAGAGCTGGAGTACTAAAAGCCAGCTTTGTGCCCCAAAAGCGGGATACAAAGATCTAAACAAATAGTCCTCTGTTTGTTTGACCGAGACTTTCATTAAGGGCACATTATTCCAGTTGATGTTTGCCTTTCCAACATTTGCTCAAGGTAGATTACAAAGGAAAAGCTATCTGTATGGGAATTCACAAAAATAAATGAGCAAGCCCCGCTCAGGCTTCATAGTTTCCTCTTGGCTTCCCCAAATTGTCACAAGGCTACATCTGTCTCCTACGTTGCTGTGCTTCAAAGCTGGCAAAACCTGGTTTGGGAAGCTGCTGAAGGACAAACCTCGTTCCAACTGTTTATGGGTTCTGGGTATCATTGGAGGCATGTCTGTTATACCACATGCTCCCAGTTCCATTACCGCCAATAATAATAATAATAATAATACCTTTCGATTTATTGATCGCTCATCCTGCAGAGCTGCTGGCTCTGAGAGATTTACAGTTACACAAGTTTTCACACGGGACTAACAATGATTCATAGGGTAAGGGAGGACAACATATAATTCTTTAAATCGCATGCTTTTGCAGCCGACAGGGATTTTGTTCAGCTGTAAGCTTCAGGCGTGTTCCGGACGGCATTCACTTTCGGCTTGGCTAGATGACGTCAGTTCTTCCAGGTCTGCTTTGAGTCGTAGTGCCGCACTGCCACCGCCTGGCCGGATTGGCCCATCACAGGCTTGTCAATGCCGAAGAGGTCTTTTTCCAGGCTTCCGAGCTTCCAAGCTGGACCTTCCGTTCGCCGGCTAACACCTACCCCACGGAGTTTTTTAGTGTGCCCACCCTCTCTAAGGAGTGGTACCCATTTTATCTACTCGCCGAAGCTTTCGAACCGCTGGGTGGATGGCAAGCTGGGGACAAGGCTGGTAGCTCACACCGGCGTGGGCTAGAACTGACAGCAGCTCTGTTCAGTCCTCTGTCAGTTGTGTGCACATAATAAAGGGGTCCAGTATCCACCTCTCTTCTGCTAAGTGGGGGTTCTTGTTTTTGCAGGAAGAGCTGCCAGTGATAGTCTGCCATGACCCTGACTAAGGAGTCAATAGGAGTACCTATTACATTAGTTAAAGAAAGCGCGGTCCTACTCTTGAACCTTTTATCTGCTGCATTCACACATCCTCCAAGGAGTGGAAGGCAGTGGAGGTTAGGCTCAAACAGATTGATTGGTGTTTGTTCTCCCAGTGAATTTCATGACCCACTGGGGATTTGAACCCAGGTTTTCCAACTGGCTCTAAATTGTATTGTTGTATTAATTACAACGTCTTTTCTCCAGTGAGCTCACTGAGCCATAGATGTGTTCTGCAGCTTTAAAACCCTCCTGTGCCGTAAGTTACCCAATTAAAACATATCCTACACCCCCACCAAATGGGGCTTAAATTGGCTCACAAAAATGGTTAATAAATTATCAGTCCAAAAGACTTAAAGCAAGTTTAAGTCAATATCATTATATAAAAACAATATCTACCGCTAACTAAAAGCCTTCTTAATTAAATCCCTAGCAGTACATGCCTTCCTAAAGACTGCCAAGGAGGGAGAGCACCTAATCTATTGGAAGACGGTTCTATAAAGTTGGGGCTGTTGCTGAGAAAGGCTGTGAATGAGCTGAAACTGTTCAAATTGACCTGAGAAATGGAACGATAAGATGATATCAGGAGCATAATTGGACCATGTGTTTGTGCAGAGAGACAGTGAGGTATCTGGGTCAAAGTGGGTGAATTACGTTGAAGGCAAGAACCAGCACCTTAAATTGAGCCCAGAAACACACCAGTAACCAGTGAAGGTATCTCAGAGTTGGTACTGCAAGACAGTTCCAGTCAAAAGGCAAGCCAGGGGTATTTTTTATTAGTTGTAGTTTCCAAGTTGTCTTCAAGGGCAGCGCCACCTAGATTTTTGTTACAGTAGTCAAGTCTTGAAGTTACCGCACCATGGCTAAGCTCAGCCTGGGTGTCAGAAGATGGTTTCTGTGCCACACAGTTGATTAAAGGCACTTTTGCCACCATACCAGCCTGTTTCTCCATCAACAGGGTATGACTCAACATATAACCCCTGAAATCTTTGTCAAAGAAAACCTTACCCCACTCCCAGCTGACAAAACAATCCCTAGCAGAACATTGGCCATGCTGATCAGCATCACCTCCAACTTCTTTGGATTCAGGTTGAACTTAAAGAGAGTGAGTAACTGAGTTAAAGAGCTCATTGAATGGGTATGAACGTCTCTTCCAGGTGGGAATCACAGTGGGGTCCTGTGGGAAGCACAACCAAGAAGGGCTTGTAAGACCTTGCTGAATGGTGGTGTGACCTTGATGTGGAGGCAAAATAGCACTATGTACTCCTGTTATTAAAATGTGCGTGCCAACAGCACAAACCTGAGGTGTTTTGTGACCTTGATGTGGAGGCAAAATAGCATTCTGTTATTAAAATGTGCATGCCAACAGCACAAACCTGAGGTGTGTTCTCTCAGTCCCTGCAGAAGTACAGGAGGCTGTTTGCTTAGGTTTGTGTGGATACAGTTCCGGTTACTGAACTTCATCGGTTTGAGAGAAGCATTTAGCTGATGGGTGGGACCTTAGCTTGGTCTCTCCCCCCACCCCCTTTTGTTAGTGGATAAAAGAGCACATGTGCAAGATAAACAACAGGCTTATAGGTATAAATGTCCTGATAACATTTGAGCTTTCTGGCATCGCTGTGTAGTCACGGGAATAGTCAGGAGACTGGCCAGCTGGAGTTTTATCGGTCGAACTGATAGTGTCCCGGAGCTTGGTGACATCACAGGGCGGGCTGCTGCCTTGGGGGGGGGGATGCTCTGCTGCCATAATTCTTGGGGTCTTTCCTGCTCTGATATGTGCTGTTTGCCATGAGCATGCCCTGCTCCTGGCTCTAGATTGAATGATGGTCTTCCATTAATAGGATATCATTTTTATCCTCTCCTTTCTCCAGAGCTCACAGTAGCATACATACTTCTTGCTCCCCTTTTTTCCTCACCACGTCCCTGTGTGGTAGGTCAGAGCTCAGGCCACCCAGTCAGTTTCATGACAAGCAGAAAATTTGTACCTGGGTCTCTCTCCAGGCCTAATGCGATCCCTGTACCATACGGGTTCTTTTCAAGCAACTGGACCTGGGAGAATTTATCCTGTTCATCGGTGACTGCCATCAGACAGTTGTAGTCAGTCAACTCTATGTGACTTCTGGGAAGTTTAGGTTTATTCTTTGGTTCTGGGAAGCAGCTGCACAGTAGTGGGGATATAGCTCATTTGGGAACGGGGTTTTCACTCTGCCCATGTGGCACTGTTTTGCCGAATGAAAACGCTCGGGGTTGTGATAAGCCCTAGTAAGAGGGGAAGACAGGCACTTGGTGTGCAGTCTTTGCTCCCCCTCTTCTCTAGCAGGTGGTGAAATGGCACAGTAGGGAAATAAGAGTCTTCTCCCCCCCACCCCCCGCACACACACACATGCACAGGGGTTTATGGCTAAAGGGTAGTGAGTCTTCTCCTAGGGTTGCCAGTCTCCAGGTGGTGGCTGAAGATCTTCTGGTATTACAACTGGTCCTCAGGTTAGACATCAATTCCTCTGGAGAAAATGGCTGCTTTGGAAGGTGGACTCCATGGCATTGTGCCCCACTGAGGTCTGTAACTTAACCCCACCCTCCATCCCCAGAATTTCCAGGTATTTCTCAACTCAGAGCTGGCAACCCTACTTTCTACCGTAGGTCTTAAAGGAGCCCTGGGCCTGACTTCATGTTTGTGGACCCAGACTGGAAGCAGGGACAGTCCACTGTTCTCGTTCATCCTTACATCCGTCCTGTCACCTAATGCAGCAGTGCTATCCCAAAATGACAGATGGGATATGGGGCTACTGGCTTGAAGCCTCTTTCTTCTTCCTCTGCCCAGCAACATTTTCTGTTCGGAAACTTCCCTTCCCCAGGGCTGCTTTAAGAACCCCCTTGAGAGAGGAACAGTATATGCCTGTGTTGTGTATGTCTCTTCACCTTATTACAGCTTACAGCAGCCCAGGTGTGCATTTAGACTTCAGGAAACCAGACAGAGGGAATACCCTCCCTTCCCTGTTGCCATAGACCCTGTCCATTTTGTTTCCTTCACACTGCTTTCTCCCTCCCGCCCCCCCCAGCATAATGACATCATCTAGCCTGATATCACAGGACCCTGGGGCCTTATGCAACACCAGATCTCATAACAAGTCCTTTTCTTTTAAACCAAACAGCTTTCAAATAAGGAGTCTCTTTTCTCCTAATTTATGTCCAACAGCCTCTTTCCTGCCCTGGTCACTTGCTTCCCGTTGCACAACTAAGAGGGAGGGGAAAAACACCCCCCCTTTTCCCTTTTAAAGCTTTTGTCAGATCTTTTAAATGTGAGGCTAACACAGCCAGCAGCTTGCAGGCTGATCTGATTAAGCGAGACACAGACGGGCTTTGCCAAGTGTACAAAGTGCAGGGCAGTAAAAAACCTGGATGACAGATGCAGGACCTGAGACTAGCATGTCAGTGACCCCATTGTTGAGACTTTATTGGTGGGAACTAGAGGTGGAGCAGGAAATGACTGCGTTGGTGGAGGTGACTATTTTATTCTTCTGGTAAGCAGACAAGAATACAAAGCAGAATTTATAGTGTTGATTCCAGACTTCTAGAATTTCAAGCCAAATTTAAAATCTTGGGTGTTTTCAGCATGAGCCCATGTAGAATCTGTGGGGCTGTCCTGCCAGGCCTCAGGAGGTTCAGTGCCCATCTAATCAGCTTTTTGATGGCCTGCTTAAACTGGTCTACAGTATTTAGTCAGTGTACTTGGTCTGGACTGAAGGGCACGAAGGAAGTGAAATCTAACTGATTTACAAACATTTTAATAGACATAAAGGTGCATCTTGATTAGTTATGGAGCAGATCTTTTAAAAAAAACTTACTAAGGCTGTTTCAGGAGGGTAGCCAGATTGGGCTGCAGCATGGGTGTAAACTTTGGGGGTGCTGCTGAGCCTCCCCCAGGCAACCCTACAGGCTTTTTTGTGTTGCCTTCCTTAATGTCAGATTTGTGACCATTAGTTTGTCATATGCACATATGTAGATTTGCAGATCTTAAAGTGACTATTCTAAAAGTGAATTTCAGAAACCGGACACAGCAGGAGATCGCTGAGATACCACTGGCTAACTCCCACCTTTTCCTAGGTTTGGTTCAGCACAGAACCTTTCAAATTTCTGGGGAGCCCCTCCCTAAATTCCCCATGGTCCAACCTCCACAGATGGTGGCAATGGAGGCCCCTCCCGATGATGTCACTGGGCCCTGGTAGCAATGCCTCTGACCCAGCCCCATCACCCCCCAGGAAATTGGAAAGTCTACACCCTTGCGCTGCAGTAGAAGAGTGGGATTCAAGTCCAGTAGCACCCTAGAGGCCAACAAGATTTTGGGGGTATGCCCTTTCAACCGATGAAGTGAGCTTCAACTCTTATCTGACAAAGGGGGCCTTGGCTCTCAAAAGCTTACACCCTGGAAATCTGGTTGGTCTCTAAGGTGCTACTGGACCTGAATCTAGCTTTTTTACTAAGTCTGATAAGCACCGTTTTGAAGAATTCCCTCCTGTGCATGAGAGAAAGGGGAATGCCTTTTCTAAGATAAGGTCTTTCTGCAGCATAGGTACAGTATCAGAAAACTGTGCTTTTGTTTCTTTAGCACTCTTATATTCTCTTGTGTAAATCAGTGACATCGCATGGCGATGCAACTAAGACTTCTTAAATTAACAGCCCATAAAAATCTTTTATCAATGCAGTATTAAAAGGTCTTCAGATAGCAGCAGCTTCCACAGCCTTCTGACCCTTGAAGCATAACCAAGTTGAACCCTGCAATGGAAGGTATTTTTTATATTCTGGCCTTTTTCCTTCATGGAACTCAAAACTGCAGCCTCCCACGTGGTCTGGACTAGCTGAACTTTGTCCTGCCAGGAAAAGGGATCTCTAGATGTGACTAGAGAGGCCCTTTCTTTATGAAGGTTGTCATTATTCTCTGCTGTTTCTAGAATGCCATCAATAATGTTGGGTGCTTTACATACAAAAAAGACAAATACATATTCTGAGGAAGTAGCTTTATAAACTTAGACCAGGATGAGATGATGGACAAGGGTAAGCAGGGATCAGGGTGACGAAGTAACATTCTTGAAATGTACCTGTCATGGTGAAGAAGATGAAGACGAGGAGGAGGAGGAGGAGGAGTTGGTTTTACACCCCGCTCTTCACTACCTGAAGGAGTCTCCAAGCGGCTTACAATCACCTTCCATTCCTTTCCCCACAACAGACATCCTGTGAGGTACGTGGGGCTGAGAGAGCTCTGGGAGAACTTGTGACTGACCCAAGGTCACCCAGCTGGCTGCGTGTGGAGAAGAGAGGAATCAAACCCGGTTCTCCAGATTAGAGTCCGCCACTCTTAAACCACTACACCAGTGATGATGCATCGTTTTAACGGTGATTCTGTGATGTCCTTGAAATACAATTTGTACATACGTATACTGGCACAGGAACGCATATACTCCCTTGTTTCCATTTCCATTTTTCCCAGGGCTTGCCCAAATTATAACACTTTTAAAACACAACATAGTGAAACCAGAGTATACAGTTAAATATGTCAATCTTCACAGCTCATTGATTGCAGTTGCCTGACTTCTGCTTTATTCCCTGTCATTAAGAGCCAGCCCCCACACAAAAAGGTCTGTGTTGACTGAGGGTGCAGGAGCAAATCCCAAACTGCATTGGCCGGTAGTCTGCACCCTTTCCCTAGTGAACTTACATGAAAGTGGGGCTCACTTTCAATTTGTTTAAAGTTATATGACTTAATTTTGTCTCTTCTGTAGATCTGATTTGGGTGTGTTTGTGGCAGCTGGAATTCTTGGAAAGGGACTGAATTCCACAAGGCATGAGGAAGAAGAGTTATACAAGTTATATATATTTAGGATGCACACTTTTCACTGCCAGGGATCCTGCTCCCTTATCAGCTGCACGGCAGCTAACCATTCAACAGATGTGTCTTCCTCTGGGATAGGGAGGAGGAGATGGGAAAAGCTTCACTTGTCTGATTTCTTTGAGTCCGTCTGCTTTGTTTCTGTCGTTCTCCTTCAGTAAGGTCCTGGGAAACAGCTTTAGTGCCTCTTTTCCTGCACAGTCAGTGGGCTCAGCTACTGCCTTGAGCTGAGCCTCCTTTGCGAAGAGAAAGGGTAAACCTTTTTCACCATATTGGTGACAAAGCAGGGCATCTCTTTACCACCGCCGTGTTTCCCCTTGGCCTCGAAATGAAATGCAACTCTCCAGTTAATCCAGGTCATTAAACTGGTAAGTTCGAGTTGACGGTTCTCTCCTTCCAGTAACTCCAGTAAAGCCTTGAGGAACATGGATTCCCATCGGTTGATGAAAGCCGCGTAGCCTGAGAATCCCAGGTGGTAGTGGGGGGGGGATGAATGAGAGAAATGTCAATACTCTTTTAATACCAACACACACCCCAAACCCTGGCCACCTTAGCTACAGTGTTTAGAAAGCTATGGGTATACTCCCCACACATACACGCTATTGAATGTCCCTCTCCATTCTCTTGGGATTAGCTAGTGAAGGTTACTCCAGAATAAATGCGCCTAGGGTCACTGTGATAGGCTTATATACCTGGACTACAAGCAAACATTACTGCAGTATTTTCTGGGATAGAAAGATAGTGTGAAAAACAGTCTGTTTGTGGTTCACCACTGTCCGTCTGCAAGCACACGCCTGGATCAATTTCCTCTCCACGGCAGGCCTAGAAACACAGCAAGTGCAGCAGACATTAAATGGCATTTTACTCGTTTCCAACAGTATTCAAATTGCCAGTGTGTCTGGCCTAAAAACCTAGTCTGGCTCTCATACTCTCCAGAAATGCATCTGACTTCTTCATTGTTTGTGGCTAGCCACATGCTGTTACTAGGTTCAGATCATGAGCAGGATGTTGTTCATTTCTAGCACCTAGGAGCTGAAGCTGTAGAACCTCTGAAATTAGGCCCAAATAACTAGTTGGGTTGGATCTACCCAGCTTTTCCACTCAACCTCACCCACATCCTCTCCTTACTTCGCCTCCAGCCCACCACCATGGCTTTTGTGCATCCAGGTTCCATGTTTCTCAGCGCACACTTTTTGAGTAGTCAAAGAGGACAACTCCTTTCTCTTTCATCAATTGACTTTGAAAGTGCAGCTCCATTTTATCTATTCAAATCTGCCTGGCATTCAACGCAGGATGCAAGTAAGAACTCTTAAGATCATGGCCTAAGACATTTCCTCCCCCTTAACTGCCCCCCCCTCAAAATCCAGCCAGATGAAGAGTTCTGGAAAACTCCAAAGCTTGTACACCATTGATTTTTTGTTATTTTGGATGACCTGAATAAAACGTATTACAGGGCCTCCCCCCCCCCAACAGTTATTCATATCTGACACCCCTGAATATAGACACATCAGCTACTGTACAGTCATTGATCAAGCTGGAAATACCTTTTAGTTTTATTGTTACTTTCTGTGTAGTATAGCCAGGAGATCCTAAGATTGTCTGGCAGCCAGAAGTTCTAGCTCTGTTAGCATTATGCAACACTAGATGGCAAGCTACACTTGTTTTTAAACCAAGAGATGTTTCAGAGGTGGTTTGCCATTGCCTGCCTCTGCGTCACGCCCCTGGTATTCCTTGGAGGTCACCCGTCCAAATACTAGCCAGGGCCGACCCTGCTTAGCTTCCGAGATCTGATGGGATCGGGCTAGCCTAGACCTAAACTACCCCATGGGCATATATGAAAATCTGAATGTAGTGACAGCTCTGACTTCTGATTGCAACCATTTATAGTTGAACTTCAGGAATTACTTTGCAGAGAGAGGCCTAGGAGACTGCAGTGAAAAGCTACCACAAGCAACCAGAACGTTATCTACAGCTCCTGGGATCCAGGCTAATTTTTTTTGGCAATTTTAAAAATTATTTACTAAACCTTCCCAAATTTACATGAGATTAAAGAAAACTCTGGTTGTGTGTGTGTGTGTTTGAAAGTTATTCTTAAATTAGAGATAAAATATAATCTTTCAAAAAATTATCTACACATGTCATTCTGACACCAGAAAGTCATCTGGTCAGATAAAGAGTTATTTAAGGCCTTCTTGTAAGGTTGGCTGACTATTTCTGTTTTTATTCTGTACTCATCTGTGCTGCTGTCTGTCAAGGAACGTGATCACAGGTTGTAATCATCTTGTGTAAGTATCTCCTTCAGATATCCCAACAATAAAATTGTTGGATCCAGAGGGATCCAATTTCTGTTGTTACACTCTGTGCCTTTCCCCAAAACTGAACAGCTTTAGGGCCAGACTGAAAAAAAAAAATACAAAAAAGACCCATGTCAGATGCATGACAACTCCAACATGCCACATATATCAATTTGTGCACAGTGAGCAGTGTTAAATAGTGGAATTTTTTTTTATTTGTAATTTTTGAAACTTCTCTTTCATACCTGCATTATGTTTATATTTTCCCAAATCTGTTGCCTTATTTTAATAACTGTATTCTTGTTGTTGTTTTTTAAAGTACCCATAGGTACACTTTTATTAAAAAAAAATTTAAATCTAAAACAAACAAATCTACACACTACAAACAGACACTCTACTACACATAACATATATACCAAGAGTACAGTTACATTATATGCTTATATGCAATTACTTAATTAATAAAAACTCTATATCAAATACTTTCCATTCTTCTGTCTTCTGTGTTCTCAAGTCCATTGCGCTATTCTTGCCTAGTCTTCTATTACATTTGCATTATACCAATCATAAAACTTTTTCCATGTTTTTTGAAATGTCCACTCTTTACTTAATCTCATTTCTAGAGTCAGTTTATCATTTTCTGCTTTCAAAAAGTTTATTCACAAATTCCTGTTTTGTTGGTATCACCATGGTTTTCCAATATTTGGCATATAAGATTCTTGCAGCTGTCGTCATATAAACAGTCAAATACCTATTCTCTTTTTCATAATCCTTTGGAAATATATTCAACAGCAAGACCTCTGTTGTTTTTGATAAAAATACACCTTTCACCTATGTTGTAATAGAACTATGCTACATTTATGATAGTTGATAGATTTATTTTATGTACTTGGTGCAGAATCTCCTGACCAAGGGCAATTTGTGGATTCAGACATTTCTGCTTATCAGTTAGGACATTTCTCCGTTCCCCTTCACAGATTGCACTCCAGGAAGCTATCGAATGCTATACTGATATCATGAGTTCAGGAAATGTGATAAGACACAATCAGGGAATTTCTTAGTACAGAAAAGAAAGTAATGTATGGAGGTTTAGAAGCAGGAAGTTTGATTCTTTTTGCTACCTTTGGCACCTGAGTCATAGTCACACCCATTACAAAACCAAAATGAAACACATGGCAAGAGGAAATGCATTTTGATGAAACTCATTTAGGCATTCCCCACCATTGCTACTGTTAAAGTCATACATAAAAGTTACTACCTGCAGCTCTGGATATTACCTGTATGAAAAAGATTTTGGGTTTTCCAGCCAGTTTATGGCTCCTTGGTAGAGACAGTGCTTCGAAAATCTGTGTCAGCTTAACTGGTTGTCCTTCACAGTCAAATATGACCCCTTCCTCTCCGTGGCTGGATAGGATGCTTACAAAATAGTCTCCGTGATCTGCATCACATTCTGCAAAGATGTAGGAAAGAGAAGCACAAACGTCTCAATCCTACTTTAAGCGCTCTCTGCAAATTATGGCACATTCAGTACTTTTGTGATTCTGTGAAAACTAGGCTTAACTTAAGTACTAAAACCATCCCTGTGCTGTATTACTTTGGAGTACATATGAAAAACTAGATGTTGGTGTGATGGGTTCTAAGGTATCCTTCTCCCAGACTAGGTAATTTTTCTATGTGCGGGGAAGTTTTTATATGAAGAAGGATTCAAGCATGATCATCCACCACCCCTGCAGAAGTGGTATAGTCCAGGCCCCAGTTTACTACCTCAAAGAATACCAGGCTTAAAAGACCACGTGGTGGAGAAAAAAGGAATTTGTGACAGATGTCTTGGTGGGTGGTGCAGAGGTGTCTACAATGCCTTGCCCATCTTTTTCCCTGACAAGATTTCTGTGCCTTTAACAGCTATGCGGTAACTAAAAAATTCCCCCACCTCCAGACATAGTTAAAATATTTTCCCCCCTGAATTTAGAATTCTCAGTGCTTCAGCCCATCCTTAGTAGTAAGAGAGCCAGTTTGGTGTAGTGGCTAAGGACGTGGATTCTAATCTGGGAGAACTGGGTTTGATTCCCCACTCCTCCATATGCAGCTGCTGGTGTGACCTTGGGTCAGTCACAAGTTCTCTCAGAGCTGTTCTCTCAAGGGCAGTCCTCAGCTCTCTCAGCCCCCTCTACCTCAGAGGGTGTCTGTTGTGGGGAGAGGAAGGGAAGACTGTAAGCTGCTCTCAGACTCCGAGTGAAGGGTGGGGTACAAGTCCAATCTCTTCTTCTTCTAAGATGCCCCAACACTAAGTATGTGATGGAATGAACTACCCCAACTTAAGAGGGCATTTAAAGAAGGGCTAAAACATTTACAGAGGCTGTTTATCAACAACTGTCATGTATTTATTCATTTACAGGGCTCTTTTTGTAGAAAAAGCCCAGCAGGAGCTCATTAGCATAACAGGCCACACCCAACAGCAGAAACTCATTGGCATAGTAGGCCACACCCCTGACAGCAAAGCACATTAGGCCATACCCCTATGCCACCAGAAGTGTGGTCATCCAGCCACACCCACCTTTTGCTTCTTATTCTGTTTACCTTGTTTGTTGTCAAAACCCAGGGCCTTTTTTTGGTAGCAGGAACCCTTTGCATGTTAGACCACACCCCCCAAATGTAGCCAATCCTAATGAGTTTCTGCTCTTGGGTGTGGCCTATTATGCTAGTGAGTTCCTGCTGGGCGTGGCCAACTCAGGAGCCAGCCGGAACTCCGTTCCTGCGCGTTCCTGCCCAGAAATAGCCCTGCATTTAGATATATCCTGCTCTTCTCCCAAATGGGGTCCCAGAGCGGCTTACGATCTCATTCTCCCCTTCACCAAGTGGTCCAGCAGCTGCTGCTGCTAGTTGTGCTGGGCCCAGGTGACCTGAACAGCATCAAGTTGCCCAGTAGCCACCACCAGACCTGGGCGAATCATGCAAATTGCATGGTGGTTCATCACCCAGGTGAGCTGTGCCATGGCTGATGTCACACAGTTACTAAGTGCTGCCTGTTAACGCCAGCAGTCCCTTTCCCAGCAGCTCAAAAGTCAGATATGTCATCTAGGACAACTGCGCCCTGTGAGGCAGGCTAGGCTGAGAAAGGAAACTGGTCCAAAGTAATCCTGCAAGCTTAATGGCAGAGTGGGGATTTGAACCTGGGTCTCTGTTTAGCCACCCATTTCTTTCTCCATTTATTTATTAATGCTCACAGACCAATTAGTCATAAGCAAATGAAGAAAGATTTGAGATACATAATTACAGTATAATATTTACACTATAAAATATTACTAAATATCATAAGCAAAAGTTTAACCACGGCAAAAGTCACGAGACTGACAGCTAACAACCTTGAGCAATAAACCTCCATGAATTTGTCTAAAGCAATCGGAGCTAATGGGCTTCCACACATTTATGGGCAGCAGAAACTCCACAGATCCATTGTGCGAAGAACGTCTCTTGTGTGGCAAGTCTTGAATCCACTGCTAATGTCATTGGGCAGCCCCCATGCCCCAGTTCTGGAGTGATGTGAGGGAGAGGAAGGAATCCCCACTTCCCCCTTTCATCATGCCATGCACAACTTGAACTAAATAAAACAACTAAATACATAATTGACTCCCCACCACCAAATCCTGGAAGAAGTTGCAGTGCCAAGCCTCCTGAAGCAAAAGTTAGGGTAAAGTTGCCAGCCTCCAGGTGGGGCCTGGGGATCTCCCGCTTTTACAACTGATCTCCAGCTGACAGAGATCAGCTCCCCTGGAGAAAATGGCTGCTTTGGAGGGGGGGCTCTACAGCATTGTACCATGCTGAGGCCCCTCCCCAAACCCCGCCCTCTCCTGGCTCCACCCCCAAACTCTCCAGGGATTTTCCAACCCAGACCTGGCAACCCTATGTTAGGGTTGCTTATATATATATATCATAATGGGACTTTATTCACTTCACATGGTCAATTCTTGCAGATCCCCTCCCCCCATTGACTTTCCTAGGATTGGGAATGTCTGATTGTATTCTCAGCCCTTTCTGTTTAACAGCAATACCATCAGTCAGTGTTTGGGGGGGGGGCACATTCCCTAGCAGTACTCACTCTAAAACAGATCAGGCATGAACATCCTCTGATTACTATCCTGCATCAGGTTGAATTCACTCAAACCCTCCTGAGTATGTAGACACTGGAGCCTGGTTTTGGTGACCTGGCTTCAAGGAGTAGCCAAGAGGTCAGTGGCACTCTGTAGAATATTTCCCACTAAATTCCCCCTAGCTCTCAGTCCTGGTACCTTAAGGGACCTTTAGTATGGATTAATATCCTATTATTGTATCCCATCATTCCACTCAGCTAAGTGCAGTCTGCTTGCACCCAGAAGAAAGCTCCACACCAATTGAGCAGACTGATAAAATACTGTTCATTGCGTATAGCAAAAATCTTGCTGCCTTATTTATGGGGTTGCAGCCCATGGCTGGGAGGGCAGGTGGCATATGGTATAGCCCGATCTCATCGGATCTTGAAAGCTAAGCAGGGTCGGTACTAGGATGGGAGACCGCCAAGGAAGAGGGAGGCCATGGCCAACCACCTCTGTTTCTCACTTGCCTTGGAAGTCCCTGCAGGGGCTGCCATAAGGCAGCTGTGACTTGGCAGCACTTTACACACACATCCAATAGTTGTTTTCAGTGGGTGGAGGAGGGAGGGTAATTTCACTTTTACTTTTTGCTGCAAGCCCCCCCCCCCCCCCCCCCCCCCCCCCCCCCCCCCGGGCATTGTGAGCCACCCCCCCCCCCCCCCGCTATACCCTGTTCCTGGGCATCCCCTCAACACCAAAGACACCTTTCCGGGGAGGTAGCAAGCTGAAGGGGAAATTTTCCATTCCACAAGCAGATCTCCACAAAAAGTTGGCCGGATTCAACACATCGCTTCTGCCACCCCTAGTTTCCCCCACCACCACCAAAGTCACCACTGTGGTTCTCAGTTTTCCCACAAGCACACACCAGTGTTCCCTCTAAGCTGAGTTAGTGTGAGCTAGCTCACAGTTTTTTAGCCCCCGGCTCACACATTTTTGCCTTAGGTCAGGAAGGACGGCTCCAGAGCAAAGTAATTTATGCAGGAGCCAAATCGCTCGCTCACAACTTTAATGCCAGTAGCTCACAAAGTAGAATTTTTGCTCACAGGACTCCACAGCTTAGAGGGAACATTGGCACACACTACAGGTGGGCTCATGTCGAGCTCAGAAGGCGGGTCAGTGCAGTCCAGGCTTGCCGTTCTGATCGTGTGCAGTGGTGGCCAGGAGCCCCTCCTGTAATCCTGAATGGCCTTGTTAATCTAAGAAGCATGTGACAAATCTGGCAAACCACGATACGTACCTTTCTCATAAAGTTCTTGTATTTCCTTAGCTGTCAAGTCATAATGCAATTGCACGGCATAATTGCAGTCGGATAATGCTTTGAAGAGCCTGTCTGCTTCCTTCACTGCACCGGGTCTATCCAGGAGCCTGTTTGGGCTTCTATAGAAGTCATAATTTACAATGAGAAGAGCCCTGTTCTTTCTTTGGTCTGCCATGCTGTGAAAATCCTCAGTGATCGCTGTGCAGAGTTGTTTGCCAGTGCCAGGTGTTAATCAGGAGCTGCTGATATAGTCTCTGCCCAGTTATGACTCTGCTATAAAGGTGGGGCACTGCAGAAACTGTCATACGCTGTTTGATTAGCTGCCATATACTGCAAACACTGCCAGTTATGAGCTGTACCTATAAGAGTCAAAGGCCATTTGCTAGTAACCACCATAAAATATTTACACTTTCCCGGAACACGGGACAGCAGCATCCTGCTCATATGTAGACTCACGGCTAAACTGGACTTGACACAGTTAAAAGTCCCCACCCCAGTTTCTGTTTAATTGAAAAGCAGCCTTGGAGGCTGCACTCAAGAGTAGCACAAGATGGGAAATGACTGTGCTAAACCCTCTCCCCGTCTCCCATTTGCTGGCTGAAAAATCACCATCCCATGACACTGTCCCACCTGCCAGAAGAAGAAAAAGACAAGAAGTTCCCATATTTTCCCCCCACAGGAAGAAAAGCTGCTAACCCACTTGTCAAGACAACTGCTCTCTGCTCTCTCTAAGGGGAGCAGTGGCACAGGGGATTTATCCTCTGGTTAAACATCTGAGCTGAACAGGACTGCTGTCAGTTCGAGCCCCACACTGGTGTGAGCTACCAGCTGTGTCCCCAGCTCGCTGTCCACCCAATGGTTCGAAAGCTTCGGCGAGTAGATAAAATGGTACCACTCCTTAGAGAGGGTGGGCACACTTAACCCCCCCCCCGGTGGGAAGTGTTAGCCAAAAAACGGAAGGTCCACACGTAAGATCAAAAGCCGAGAGAGATCTACGCAGCATCAAAGAAAACCCTGCAATGGGCCATTCCAGCCAGACGGTGGCAGTGGTGCGCTGCGACTGAGAAAAATGCTGATGACATCAAGCGACGCCGACTAAAGAATGCTGCCGGAACACGTCTGATGCTTACAGCTGACAAAACTCCCTGTCGACTGCGAAGTGTGTGTGATTAAAAAAATGATATATGTTGTCCTCCCTTACCCCCATCATTGTTAGTCCCGTGTCAACACATGAGTAACTGTAAATCGCTCAGAGCCGGCAGCTCTGCAAGGATTGAGTGATCAATAAATTGAAAGATTATTATTATTATTTACATCCCACCAGTAAAAGACAGGCTCGCAAAATAGAAGACCCACCAGGGAAGGGGAACAGATGGAAAGGTAGATGAGGGAGATTAATGACAATCTCAGAACAAAATTAGAATCTATATCATCCAGCTGGGGCAAGGCTCACCTTCCATGGCCGGCATCCCTTGCAGAAAAGGGTATGCAGCCTCTTGCTCAGATTACCTGGCATTTAATGAGGCAGCGACTCATTCCTTAGTTAAGGGTGCGCACTGTGATCTCGGAATAAGAAGCAAGTTGCATAGATGTTTGGGCTGCCTTCTTCAGACAATGATAGAGGCTGTGAGTGAAATGTGGTCTGTTCTTCAAAGAGAAAGGGGAAGGGCCATGGGTAAGTGGGTAGAGCATCAGCTTGACATGCAGAAGGTCCCAGGTTCAATCCCCGACATCTCCAGTTTAAAGGATGAGGTAGTAGGGTGATGTGAAAGACCTCTACCTGAGACCCTGGAGGTCTGCTGCCAGTCTGAGAAGACAATACTGACTGTGATGATCAATGGTTTGATTCAGTATAAGGCACATGTCCATGTATCTGAAAGCAAGAGGAAGAAAACTGATACCCAAGTTTCCTTTTCCCATAGGTGAAAGATGTTCTTACAAGTGACAACACACTGGGTTTCAAAACAGCCTTTAATAGAGACCACTGCAGGAGACAGAATATTACCAAACATTTCCTTTTTCTCTCCTCTCCCTCCTCCAAGTTACCAGCCCCCAACACCATTTTTCAAGGCACCTGTTCCAACATGTTACATCCCGAGCTCACTATTAAAAAATGTAATTCCAGTCTCTATACTGTTTCACGGCACTAGTTTCTAAAAAGCTCATTTTATAGCCTCCACCCAGGACAACTATAGGTGCTGCAACTCAAAATACAGCATCTAATTCATAGTGAGAAGCAGATGTTCTGGTCTACCCCACTTTAGAGAAGCTCTTTCCTTGCAAAGGAGCACTCGTTCAGGTTCACACCGGTCCTCCTGTGCTCTGGGGCAACACAGCCACAGGTTGCCATGACAATCACCACAGATAAGGAGGAAAAAGAAACTAGTAACTAGCAGTGCTTAGAGTAACTGCTGTAGTACTGCTCCAGCAAGTAGCCAGTCAGGCTGCCAGTGCTACACCACTACAAGTGATGTGGTATGATTAAGAAGAAGAAGAGGTTGGACTTATACCCTGTCCTTCACTACCCGAAGGAATCTCAGAGCTCCTTACAATCTCCTTTCCCTTACCCTCCCCACAACAGAGGTAGGTGTGAGGTAGGTGAGGCTGAGATCTCTCTCTCGAGAACTGTTCCTGAGAGAACAGGTCTGAAATAACTTGTAACTGACCCAAGGTCACACCAGCAGCTGCATGTGGAGGAGTGGGGAATCCAACCCGGTTCTCCCAGATTAGAGTCTGCACTCCTGACCACTGCACCAAACTGGCTCTCAAGGCACTTAAATGACCCTTGGCACTTAAACGTTCCTTGTGTGCACTGAAAGTGTTCTGAAGAGAAATGAACCAGCACAACAGCTGGATGTAGCCGTATCATAACTGCACCATGGCCCAGGGCAATGCTTATTAACTGGATCAGCTCACACCAGCAGAACTCGAGGCTTGGCTCATTTGGAGACCCACTCAGCAGCATCAAACACGGATCAATTAAAAAAAAAAAAACCTTCCAAAATTGTCTGCAGAGGAGTGAGGACCTTCCAGCAGGTCAACGCTCAGTTTTCCTTTTTAAAGTTATTGACTTTGATTTTGCGGCGTAACTGGAGAAGGTCAACGTAGACATTGCGCTGCAGGACAGCAGAAGCACAGAGCAGGGCACTATGCAGGGCTCCCATAAAGCCTCCGACGAAAACATCCTGACCTGGGGAACAAAGGAAGATGTGCTTTTGTCTTTGCTGTACCCTCTTCACTGCAATGCTCACTCTCCCTTGTTCCTGATCAGAGTCCTATGTCTTCTAAAAAAAACCCAACACCCCAGAATTCTTATTGTGGTCACCTATTTCCAGGTTTAAGTAATCTCAAGTAAGCATTTCAATAAAACTAATTTTAAGAACAAAATGGGCTTTTGACCTCCGATGATGCAAACCTGTGTTTCAGTTGGCAACACCATAGAAAAGGCATTCCGTTCTGTGTGAAAGCGGAATGCCTCTTCCAGGATGGCGTTTGATTAAGTATTTGCATTTTTAAATAGCTGTCACCCAGTTAGTTGACAGCACCTTTCTTTGATCAAAAGGTTTTTCTTTTTT